GGTCCGGACATTTTTGCACCTCGGGGACCGGTCCGGACTGTCCGGTGTCCGCTGATGTCCCGTGTCCGGTGATGTACCAGTCCAGACACTGGTCCGGAAGACAGTCCGGAAGTGTCCGGGTCAGGGGTTACTATGAAAATTATTTTTGAATTTCATTTTTTATTTTAAATTTGGTGAAGAATTTCGATGTGACCCTGAGGCAAAAGTTGTTCAGCTTATGTTTCTGCATAACATAGTTTTTTTTATGTTTTTGGAGGTTTTTTTTTTTTTTTTTTTTTTTTTGCTGGGACCTTCCTTGGTCCTTGCACGGGCTGGCCACCTGGGACCCAGGCGGCCCGGCTGGTAGCCTAGGTAGATGCACAACATAAAGGTCGTTGGTCCTGTTGACAATGAAAATAGCATAGCAGTGGCGAAATCCCTACGAGACTGCAAACTGTTTTGCTGATAACATGAGAGAACCATAATGATGACCATTGGGTAAACCAGCACTAGCACTATGTCTTACTACGGTCGTGGTTACCATGCGGGTCCCTCTTTTTCAATTGGCCTAGTAGTGAATTGACGATCTGCCGGCCACATGTTTTTGTACCGTCTGCAGGGGTTGGCCGAAATTTTCAGGAGGTGATGGTGGCGGTTCAAGGACAATTCCCTGGGGCTGCCCAGGACCCTGCCTGGGTGTCCTGCCCAGCCGGACGGCCGGTGTTTTTCCAGGCACGATATTCATGACCAGGCGCCTAGAAATATGACCCAGGGGTACTCAGAAGTTGTACACCCCCCCAGGTAGGCTGATCCTTTCATTTTGCAGCGTACATACGGCCATGAGTTTTGGAGGAGGTGGGTTCGGTACTGGTGGTTCAAGCAATTTGCATTAGCATGGTACAAATTACTACAAAAGGTCACAGGTTGCTTTTTTTGAAAGGAAAAATGAGAAAGACTTTAAATTAAAAAAAAGTTCGTTTTAAATTAAAAAAAAGTTCCTTTAAATTAAAAAAAAGTTCCGTTAAATTAAAAAAAAGTTCCTTTAAATTTTTAAATGTTTCCGTCTGCCTGCCGCTTGGGGTCAAAAGACTCAATGCTAGAACGATACCCAGAAGACTAGCATGACTCCTGTGCAAGGAGCAACTGCTATACATAGGAAACTCATCCAACTAAACCACTACCGCCTCCCCCCCCAAACAACAACGCACCCACATCATGACTGTATTGGGAGTGTGTATAGAATCACAATCTGGCTGCACTCGGGGAGAGACAGTAATACGCTTGGGCGATCTTTTTCCAAAGCTCGATTTTGCCGATCTCAGGAATATCCAGCTGTTGCTGGGGCAGAGCCTGCTGGGGCTGTCAGCTTTTCTTGATCTGGTCGGTCGCTCCTGGAGGCAGCTTCACGTGAAGCGGTGCATAGCAGGGGCCTTGTTGTGCCACACTGGTGGTTTAAGAAATTTTCAACTTCCATAGAATCCATACATGAATGCTGAATGACCTGTGTTTGTTGACATGATGATCCACAGTTCAATAACCAGCATTGCCTCCTTTTCAGGGAAATAAAAATAGGGGAAGAAAAAAAGAAAAAACTTCAAAAGAAAGTGAAAACTTTGAAAAGGCAATTAAGCGAACATTCTGGAGACATACTGGTTTGTGGATGGAATGAGCAAACCCCATGTCCCCGGTCACAACATAGTCTCTGTAGACCTGTCAAAGTAGCACAAGCAGGATGATGAAATGTTAAAAGGAGTCTTCAGACTCTTCACATACCAAAAAAAAAATGAAGACAGAGAAACACAACGACACGCACACACACACACACACACACACACACACACACACACACACACACACACGTGCCTGCACCCTCGCGTTTGATGCAACTGAAGTGCTTCCACAGTCGACACCTGAACCGGTCCTGTCTGATCGGCAGAAGTGGCAACGCCTGCTCCTCGGCTCATTGCTCCCTGCGACCCAACCCCTGACTGGCCTCTTGTGCCAGTCTCTATCAGTCTGCTCCATTGAGGACTCAAGGAGGTCCGCTCTCCCCTGCTCTTTTCCTCCCTCCACACACCCCCATATTTTCCCCTGTCCTGTTCTCTCTCCGCTTCCCTCGTCCCTTCCCTCGTGCAGAACTAAACTCGTACGAATGAGCATCACTAAGACAACAGACAAAATATAAGGTACAGGTGTGTTGACAATGGGCGTGTTGACATTCCACGCTCAAGTATGCAGACATGACAGACCTTGCACCTCTCAGAACTGCGGAGAGGATTCTTTGTCCTAGGTGTAACAAGATGATGATGACAAGAGTGCTACGTGACTGATTGAAATTCTATCCATCCGTGTATCAGCATGTTCCCATACACACGGAAGATAACAAACCAGATTCCGAGAGAGTATCACACCACAGTGGACTCAAATATGCACAGGGGAAGCTCAAAATTCAAGTAAAATTGAATTAAAAAATATGAATGCAGAGTCCCCCATCTCTCTCGTCCTCACAATACTCCAACAATCCCAGCCGAGAATGAACAAACTCRAACAACCTCGAAACCACCTTCAACAAGCCCTCTAGGGTCTCCACCTTCCTCCTCCAGCCTGYACACTCATCCCTGGCTATGGCGCCCATACAGCARACTATCACCCAGCCCTCAGACAAGCAGACCACCAGCGCTACCTCCCAAAAATCATTCCGTCTGCACCAGCGCCCTACAGCATCAACTCAGAATCCAGAGTGCCATCCCAGAGCCCGTGCAGGAGCACCAGCGCCTGCTCAAAATCCGCTGTGGAGGATCAGCTTACTGCAAGGGACTGGGGACCTTTTGCTATTGCAAAGGACTTTTGACTCTTCATGACTGCCTAGGACCGGTCCCACCGTTACTGGAGAAGTCACGCCGTTAGTTTAGCTGTGTCTTAGGTCCTAGAGGTCCGGTCCAGTAGGTTGGCAGAGAGCTGTATATAGAGTCAGCTAGTAGAGGTAGAGGTCTTTTCGGACCTGTTCATCTGCAGTGCGTAAACGCTGCTTGAAGATTGTTTTTGACGCCACCGAGCTGCCGGAGCAGCACAATAGCTCCAGCTTCAAGAATAGGACAACCGCTGCCCTGAAGATCAAGATACGGCAACGCCTAACCCCAACAGTACAGATATGGTGCCACCAGGCTCCTCCCTGTTCCTTTGCCGTTTTTTTCCCTTGTTTCTTCCCCACTTCCCTTTCCTCAAGTATTGAGGATCACCTCTTCTCCTCCTCCTCCCCTACGGGTGCATCTTTCCCCCTCGTCTACGTGGTTGGGATGCTGGCATGGGGCCAGATGTCCATGCAGACAACTACTTGCCAGACTAGAACGTCCATTTGGGTCTAGGCCCAAGAACATACTCCCACTTGGTTCTGACTGCAAATAAAACCCCTTCAGGATGTATCTGACCACAAGTATGTCCAGAAATCAGTCGAAAAAAGTTTGCACGAGTCCAGTGCTCAACCTCTGATGTTTTAACAGGTAGGGGATGCCATGAAACTCTGATGACTATCGAAAACCACACACGAACAAGTAAAAATCACATCGGGAACAAGTACTGAGCCTGTCTGGCTTCCCTGCAAGACATTCTGTTGGGAACAGGTAAATCAGAGTTGCAGCATAAGTAAATCACATTACGAAAAAGGTAAATCACATTCGGAACAAGTAAATCAGTGTTTCAGTACATATAAGATTATAAATCACGTTGGGAGCAAGTAAATCACATCATGTCTGTCAAGCTTACCTGCAAGACGAACTTGGAATTAAGGTCCTTCCAACGGCTGGTATCATGAATATTGTAGGCGTTCAGCCTGATCCATGGATTGGAGATTCCCATGTCGTGAGGCATGCATCCTGCCACCTTCCGCATTCCTAGTTCGCCGCCCGCTAAGAACATGACCTCGTCGGAAACCTGATGACAGTGAAGAGGCATTGGCATGGCTGGCAGTTAGGAACCACAGAAATCACAGAAGATGCACGGGGCCACAGGCCATCAATATTATGGCAATCTCCGATGATGAAAAATGCGCTGCAAAATGACAATTTCACCCAAAAAAAAAAAAAAAAAAAAAAGGGGAAAAAAAAAGAAGAAGGAAAAGAACTGCAAGGTGCTGAACACCGCTACCACGATTGAGCGCAAGTGAATTTCAGCGGGTTTCATGACGTGGAAAGAGCCGCCAATAATTAGTGAAAGGATTCACGCGCCTTCGCAGAACAGCCCTGGTCTCGTGCCCCATTTTCTTTTGTCCCATAGGGCTGCAGTAGAACTTTCCGGCAAGCACAGCACAGACCAAAATAGAGATCCGACACGCCAAGGCCGGTAGGAAGAGTAGAAGTCCCTTGTAGTCAGTACGTAGGGAGTTGCCACGTGTCCAGTCCTGGCCAAGTCGCAGCTCAGTCCCTGGAAGGGCCCCATGACAGGCCAATCTTTGTTGGCCGCAGCAGGGCCAGAGTCACGTGGTAGGCACTGGCACATGCACAAAAGGGAGCCCAGTGCCAGGAACTACCTCTTCTTCGATTCTGGCTTACGCGGACATGTTGCTGCGGAATAGTGCACCAAGATCACGTGCCCGTGCGCTATGTGCCGCACGTGCGCCCGCAGCGTACACGTGATGCACCGCAAGTATGCTCTTGAGCTTGAAATTCAATCTTCTGTTTCAAAATTGCAGCCCTTTGGGCAAGCTCTGTTAACTTCCATAAGAACCAACGCAAGCTGACAGTCCATCCCCGATAGTTTGCATGAATTCCCCTTACCCCAGCAGAAGAAAAAGGAAAAATAATCAGAGTATTGACGCTGATGGTCGGCGCCCCTGGATTGGTCGGGGACGACCAGCCAATCGCTCCACTGGTCGGCACCTACCGGTCGGCGGTCGGGGTGCCCCTTGATTAGTCAGGGGCCGACCAGCCGACCGCTCCACTGGTCAGCACCAACCGGTCGGCGGTCGGTTGCCACCCCGCCAAAAAAAAGAAGAAAAAACAAAAGGGCCCTGAACCCCCAATAACCCCACCACCAACACCTGGATAGTAGTAATAATAATAAAAAGAACAAAGAAGTTTCAAATTTGATGAAGAACACCTGCCAAAGATAGTTAAACTCTACTCTCTGTCTCTTTGTAATACAATAAAGTTCCTGTCCCCCACCGCTCTCCCCATTTTTTTAAAAAAAAGAAAAAAAAAAAGCGGAGAGAGAAATCATAAATGTTCAAACCTCTGCACTCTCATCTTCAAGGATCCCCTTTCAAGTTTCAAGTTTCAAGTTTGTTAAACCACCTGCGTTTCCCAGCCTGCACAATTTCTGACATTTTCTTCATCATGAATGAATTTGTTGTTTTGCTAGGCAGGTTAGTACATCCCAGCAAATTAACTGGCGCAACTTTGGGACATCAACATCAATTCTCCAGGAAGCTGACTGTTTGTCCGATCTTGACTTCTATTTTTGCAGCATTCGCATTGATTGATCTTGTAGATCTGTACCCATGTTTTCTAGTTTCAAGTTTTCCAAATGGATTTTTGAAATCAACAGTTCAGAATTTTCTTCAGTGAAAGTTACCAAACTTACATTGAAGTTTTCTTAACACTAAAAAACAACTTGTTCATAAAAAAAAATTTAAAAATCCACGAGATCAGATAGAAATAGGATACCATCATATTACCATGTGGATTCTATTTAGCGGATGTCTCCAAGGACATTGACTAACCATTTCTATTCAAAGAAAAATATTAAAATATTAAAGTAGTATCAAAAGATGGTCAAGAGAATGTAGTGGCTTACCTCCTCAAGAATGGCTCTGGCCATGTCTCGTTGTAAACTCAGTTCTAATTTTGGAAACAAATATATTAACGCAAACGACGCGTAGAAGTGAACATCGTACCTGAAAGGCAATCAATTCAAATCGCACACACAACACGATTGAACTGGGCACACATAAGCAGAAATGAATATTGCAAAACGGGCACCAAAATTTTAATTTCCAACCTCCAAAAAGGAGTGAAAGGTAAAGAAATACAAAGTGCAATGAAGCTATTTCAAAAGCTGAATTGACTCGGATTTGACTTATTCGAGGACTCTATGGCATATATCAACCCCTGCCTACCGTCTTTTCCCCCAGCAGATGATGGGGTCAGCATATCTGTATCGGGACTGAAAACGGCACCAGGTACAGTGATTATGACCCCTTAGTAGGCCCTTACACTATTTGGGGGAAAAATCGGACATAGTACTGTGGGATGGGGTCATCAGATCACCCTCTCTGTATCTGAATTGGAATCGGACCAGATACAGCTACGCAATGACCATCACAGACTACAGTGAGAGCTCTGTGTTTTTCTGAGAAGTCACTGCCTTTTGATATGTCCGTGCTGAGATTTCCATGTGCAAAGTACTTCTTGTTTTTTCCCCGTGAATGAATCTGCATCTTTTCTGCAAAGTCCCAGCTCAATTGCATGTATCTGAGGAGTAACTCCTGGCTGTGTTCTCTTTCTTCGTCGCCGGAAGGGCGGAATTTCAGACAGGGAGGACTGATTGAAAAAAAAAAAAAAAAGGGTGCGATGGCCTTGGGATATCATCAAGGAAGAAGCAAAGGCTCCCACGCGGCGGCACAACTTTGTTTTGGAAAATATGGTCTTAAAAGTTGTGAAGCAGGTCGCATATCATATCAAGGAATTGAAGCGGCGTTTAGCTGACCGGCCCCACGTAATTCAGAATGATTTTATTGAAATTTATTCTGTTCATCTGACAGTTTCTGGGTTCGCACTTGAGTGTGTCTTTCAAAGTTCATGGGTGTACCAACTAAGCTAGCCCTGTCGGTGTGTATACCTTGTACTCTTTCCCGACTTGCCCATGGAATAGGAACAGGACTGATGCTCCCCGGAATGGAAAAGGAGCCGGAATCATAAGGTTCTGTTTGGGAAAAAAAAAAAAAAAAAGGCCTTAAAAAAAGGCCCGTCGGTGTAGGACTGGAATTTCGGAGTAGGACTTACCCTTCTGGGTAAGCGTAGGAGTTAGGCGACTTAGGTCAGATGAGGAGAAAGGAAAGATGGCAGAGACCCACTGGGGATTTTCAAGCGGCTTAGAGAGAGCACAGGTCCGGTAGACTTAGCAGGGTCCGGAAAAATGCTTGTGCTCGACTGAAGACTGAAAAAAAGGATAGGGACGTCTGGCTCACAGCAGCTTACAGCCCTCGACGATTTTCCCACTGTTCTGAAAGGTTAGTAGACCAGGAAGCCACTCGGAAAAGGTCAACCGTCTCCCCCCCCTTATTGCTGTATTTAGATTCAAAAATGCTCCAAGTAGATCAATTGTTATGATCTTGGTTGTCTGACGATTTTTACCGCCACTCACACACAGACAGTCTCATACACGCCCATACATGCATAAGAGAAGGGGGAGAGGAGACAGAGTCCATACTGCACACAGATCGGAGTAGGCAGCGGAATACAGCTATGCACAGATGGGGAGAAGACACACAGTGTTTCTCTCTCTCTGACAAACTCCCAATAACCGATCACAAGTAGAACCTGCGAGGATAACAATTGAAATTGCACTGATGATGAGCCAACTCAAACAATTATCGTAACAGAGTTTGTTCCAATATCTCGCCACTCTCAGAACTGACACCCCACTCTCTATCCTACACCCAGTTAGTAGCACCACATCAGAATGGCCTCCCAGAGGCCAGCGCCAACCACCCTGATGAAGAACAGGTCCTGCGATGAAATCTTATGTCCCGATGGACAGCTCTGACGAAGGAACAGGCAGCTATGGCTGCCACCACCCACGAGTACACAGTGTAGAGCCTCGATGTAGCCCGGCCAGACGCAGATACCCTCAGGGGTAGATGCGCTGAGGATGCYCCAGCTAYGGCAGACTCAGACTGGGCCGGCTATGGTTGCTGTCAACGGCGAGGTCTCAGGATSCCRCCTGCAGACAGTCACCGCCACCAACTTGCTTGGCTTCTCCAACCCTGCTTYGYGAGAAATGAACTGCCAAAAGTCCTGAACCGATGGGCCTAACCTATCTAWAGACTACACTAGACCTAGACCGGMCTGACTGACYKACCRGTACCRTTTCTGTTTCGGCCTCTCGGCCTCTACCGGACCCGGCTATAGGCTATAGGACCGTCTATCAGCATAGGCCACTTAGGGCCTGTCTGTCCTAGGGGTAGCCTGGGCCTACTCTACGCAGTTAGGGTAGCTGTAGGAATTCGAGTTAGTACTGGGTCGATATTTTCCCAGATTTGCAGATATGTCCCTCACGAATTTCCTTATAGGTAGGTCTCTCGGTTAGCCCTCAGCCAAACAAAATTACGAATCTATCCTACCGCTGTACTATACAGCCTCGCAGTCAATCTCGGCAGTAGAAATCAGCAAGTCATTGCAGGCTTACCCTCCCCGGGAGCGAGGACCTCCGAGCTAGGGATGTAGGCGAGGTGAACGGTGAGGAAGGATTCCCTTCTGAGCCGCTTCATATCGCAAGGACATCTGACTTTGGTGTCTTGAGAAGTTCCCTCCTGTAGAACCATCTGTTCTCAGAAGGAGGCTGGAATGCGAACCTCACAAAATACTGTCGGTCGGGGCCGGTGCCCCACTCGTCCTCAATCCATTCCACGTCATATCCCTTGCCAGGGATCGGTGGACCAAACTGAGGGGGCCGGTCTGGGAATGCATCAGCTGGAGTGAAAGGCAGCAGCTTGGATGCATGAAAGACTGGGTAGGTGCGTAGATGCAACGGGATGTCGATAACATACGACGGACCGAAGGGATCAGCGCCCACTATATCTAGGACCTGCCGTGGACCCAGGTAACGTGGCAACAGCTTGGGGGAGATATCCTCCTCCCTCGACAACTCAGAATTGGCCACCCAGACATAATCACTAGTGCGGATGGGGGAAGGACGCCTGTGGCGATTAGCTTGTTCAACCATAGCCTTTTGGGCTTTGAACAAGTCCGCGCAGGCTCTTTCCACATCTAGACGATAACGTCTGGTGAACTCTGCTGTGCCTGGTGTCAGATCAGGCTTAGCCTTATCGATGATGTCATCGAGAGGCTGTCGTGGTTCACGCCCCCAGTGTAACCGGCAGGGACTGAACTCCGTCGAGGAGTGGACAGACATGTTGTACATGAGTTGTGCCCTAGCCAAGTGAAGATCCCAGCCCTGCTGATCTGGTGAGATGACAGGACGCAGCAATTGGAATAAGACTTGGTTCATCACCTCAGCCTGACCATTGGCTTCAGGATGATGACCATAGGTCATGTCCAATCGTGAGTGCAGGTAATCCTTACAATAGGACGGCCACTCATCGCTGCAAAATCTGGGGTCTCTGTCACTGACGATAGGAGTGGGCGGTCCATGGTGAGTGACCCACCTCTCAGAAAAGGCTGCTCTCACAGCCGGAACCCTAGCTACCTCTCGCAAGGGGAAGAACTCTGCGTATTTGGAGAACCTGTCCACGCAGACCATAACCTGACACATGCCATGAGGGGTGGTCTTGCCTAAATCTGTGAAAACTATCGCCACAGATTCAGCAGGGCCATCAGGTATGGGCAAGGGTTTGAGCAGTCCCAAAGGAGGTCTACGGTGGACCTTATTCCTTTGGCAGAGCTCACAGGTGTCCACATAGCGCAGCATATCACTCCACATCTCCTTCCAGAAGAAGCGCTGCGACAGGGCTTTAGGAACCCAAAATGTCCACGGGCGTCATGACACTCTGACATCAGCAGTGTCCTGAGCCTCTGGTCCTGCACAAGCGTTCCTCCCCTCTGTTGTAAGTATACAGCAAGTCTGAACTCAGAGCATAGCCTGGTTCAGAGTTAGGATCTACTTGCAAATTCCTGACAATGGGTCCGAAAGTCTCATCCTAAGGCAGTAGATGAGCAACGGTCTGACGGGTCTCCTCTCCAAAGGAGTGAGTAGAGGAGATCATAGCAAAAGAGTCAGGCCTACGAGAGAGGGCATTTGCTACCTTATTGTAGCAGCCCTTCTTATGCTTCAGTTCAAAGTCTAGACCACCCCACCACCTCTTCGACACGCACCGCTACCGGTTGGTTATGTTCCCCGCCCGGATCAACCCCTACCACCAACCGTGACTTGCACCCCGCCTTTTTCCCTGTTGCAACTCTCCAGTCTGTTCCCAGCTCCAAACTCCATTGCAACTCGCTCACACCCGAGCACGGGAGGACAGCACCGCATAGCATAGAACCCACTCACTCCGCCGAGAGTTCTTTAGACCGGGGCGAGCTCGAACTATGCCACTATTGTGCACAGAACGAACTCCTACCAGATAAGTGTTTCCAAGAGTTCACCACCTCTGAAGTGGCGCACACAGCCCCGAGTTCGGACGGTTCGCCCCGAGCATGCTCCCCGATTTCGACTGCAGACTGCAGCTCGCAGCTTGCAGAAGGTAAGGGGTCCAAGATCCGAACAGCAGCGGTAAGGCCCACACAGTATCGGCTGGTGCAGGACTTAGCTGCAGCATTGAAAGACAGGCACAGGCTCCTCAGCATAGCCACGACAGTGCACAACCGTCTAAGCGCTCAACTCAAGTAGTCAAACACATAACTCAGATAACCCGCATAAACCCTGCTGAGCCCACGGCATAAAAAAATCAAGAGGGTTTTTCGATTTCATTATCTTGTGCGAACCCCCACCGAAGCCGGCCACAAGCGGGTGCGTTTGAGCAAGCCCTCTCTCTCTCCTTCTCTCCCTCTCCCTCTCTCTCTCTCTCTTGCTTCGTCAAGCACTGGTACCGACACTCTTTCTCTGTCTTCTGCAAGTGACAGCCCGCTGGATCCCGTCCTCAGAAAGCACTTTGTGCAAGAACCCGTCCAGGTACATTTACCCAAGAAAAAGACTTTCGGTGACCCAATCATACACTCAATGTTGTCACAACCGAGGAAAGCTCTCCCTCTCTCTCTCTCTCTCTCTCTCTCTCTCTCTCTCTCTCTCTCTCTCTCTCTCTCTCTCTCTCTCTCTCTCTCTGTGTGCGTGCACGCTGGAAAAGAAATCCGGCTTCAGCGCCTCTTTAACCTCCCATTTCAGCCAAGTGTACTTTCACGCAAAACAGGCCCCCATACAGGGCATACGAAAATACTAAAAAATTAAGACGACGTCCAGTGGCTATTCTGCAGGTTCAACGGGAATGGGCATTGGTGCACCCTACAAACATGTATGGTTCTCTCTCTCTCTCTCTCTCTCTCTCTCTCTCTCTCTCTCTCTCTCTCTNTCTCTCTCTCTCTCTCTCTCTCTCTCTCTCTCTCTCTCTCTCTCTCTCTCTCTCTCTCTCTCTCTCTCTCTCTCTCTCTCTCTCTTGCTTCTCTCTTGACGCTGCTACCTCCCCTTTGCTAGCTCCTTGGCTGGACGCCCGTGCTCTTCACCACCATTATTTCGGATGTATCTGGTCGTATCAATGGTTGGATACATTTAAGAAAAGGAACAAAAAAACAAGCTCCGCAGCAAGCAGTGAGCAGCCGCGACTTTAGTGTGCTTTCGGCCTCTTCTTCCTCTCTCTCTCTCTCTCTCTCTTCATCACGCACTAAGAGAAGAGGGCGGCCCGGGCGCTATAGAAGAGAGGAGCTACGCGGTTAGGAAAGCGAGAGGAATATGGAGAGGGTGGAAACCTTCTATCTTGCCCGATACTTGATGAAATCGGGTGAATGAAGACTCGTTTCTGGGGTTTGCGAACCCTGCGAATCTATCTGTGCAGTCAGATCCTGGTTTAGATGCTCAGTTTGGCCGGTATGAGTAGTAGGAGCTGCGCCCCCACTACGAGATGCTAGATCTGCATCTGGCCACGTTCCAGCGGTCTAATCAGTCTCATTGTATACGTGTCCGTGCTGCCAGTTGCTCTCATCCTGAGAAAACACTTTGGGAAAGAACCCGCCCGGGTACTTTTACCCAAGAAAAAGACTTCACTGTGTGCCTTCTCTCTCTCTTTCTCTCCCTCCCTCTCTCTCTCTCTCGTCGTTACTTCCCACTCCCGATAGCTCTGGCGCCCCCGATCTCAACGACACTATCTTGAACGTATCTAGCCGCTATGACAGTCGGATACGTAAACAAAAGCTCTATTCAGAGCAGGTAGCTGTCGCGACTTCTATGCGCCTTCTCTCTCTCTCTCTCCCTCCACCGATCTTGCAACTACCGTAGTTAGATGTGGCGACAGTCTGTCTCTTTGCTCGTTCTCAATGCCAGTGCTTTGCTTAGTTATGCCTGCTGTCCTCCCTTGCTTATTGCTCTACTCTCTATAACATCTCTCTGCTACATAGCTCTGGCGTCTGTATAACTATTTGCTTGTGCTCGCAATCATCGCTTGCTTAGCTATGGCTGCTGTCCTTCCCCGCTTATTGTCACTCCCCACTTGGCTGCGGCGATCTCGTCTCTCTTGCTTGTAGCTCCACAAGCTCCTTGGCGAAGTCGGCGAAATTGGTGACGCGGGTGAGCTCTCCCACCCACAATATCATTGCACTGCAGTTTCAATCGAGTCAGCCCAGTCAACCAGGTAAGCTAATTCCATAGCCCTCCACGATCTGGTAAACTCGGTGGGTTTCACATAATCTGATTTCGTTCGCCCTCCCAGTTCAGCTCAATCAGCTAATACCGTTGCCCCCTTCCGCGCGTCGCAACGTTTTTGTTGCCCTCCACGTGTCAAAACCCGCTCGTTGCCCGCCACGTGTCGCCACGTGCTCCATCTTCTGTACGTACGTGTATGATGTGCGCCTGTTGTCGGTCAGTTCCTCCTTTCCTGGAGTTATTACTGGCATCACCTTCCGTCATGGTCGCGCAGTGGTCTGCACACCGTCAGGCGGTCCTGAGCGCAAGCCACAGCGTCCAATCTGCACGTTCCAGAGCCCATGCTCCACCAAGTAAAATCGCTTCCCGACCACCAACCACCAAACCGAACTGAAGCACGAAACCGTGTGCCGCTGTGTGATGCGTGTGCGTGTGTGTATTTGCGACGAGAGCACGCTGTTGTGTTTACTAACTTTACATGCATACAGAGAAAACGAGAGCAGAACACGAAGAAGACAAAAGAAGAAGAAGAAGAAGAAGAAGATAGACTCATGTCAAGGCCACCTGCATGCTTGAGCCAGTGAGCCCATGAAGCAGGCGAGAAAACGTCATCGGACATAACCACTCGAGCCAGCGAACAAACCACCGCTGGAGTAAACCACCCCTCGAACCGCCCACCTCTAACACAGCCGGGATAGCTCAAGAAGTTAAGTAAAACGGGCGCAAAGCCATGGAGACAATTCAGTGAGGAAGCGACGCACAAGAAGCAGTGCATGCCTCGGTCGACAGTACAGGGAGATTCATACTCACGCCTCCAAGGAACACTTCTTCCTGCTTCACTCTCGGCGCTGCTACCTTCCACACGCTAGCTTCTTGGCTGAACGCCCGTTTCTCGCCGCTGCTACCTCGAATGTATCTGGTCGTATCAACTGGTTGGATACATTAAAAAGAAAAGAGAAACGAGCTCCGCTACGAGGCTGCAAGCAGCAAGCTGACGCGGCTTCAGTGCCTTCTCTCTCTCTCTCCCTTTCTCACTCCCTCTCTCTCTCTTTCTCTCTATCTCTCTTTCGCGCGCTCTCCTCTCCCTTTCGTCCGCTGCCCCCCTTGCGCCCGTGCTCCTCCTCCCCTACTTGCTTCTCTCCTCCTCCCGTACACTTCAGGTGCCCCTTTCCTCCACGTCCGTGCGCTGCTCGCCTACCTCTTCCTCCGTTCGCTCCTCCTCCCCTGGTACGAGCGCTCCGACGGGCGCTGTACGTGCACTCCCCTTGCCTCCCCAGGCAAAAGTCCCCTCGTGTCTCCTCCTCTCTTCCTTTATCTTCCCCTGGTCGGCTCCGACCAGGTGCCGGTCCACTAGGTTCTCTGCTTTTCCCTTGTCAGATCCTCCCTTCCTGTCTCCCACTCCCGACATTCTCCCCTGCGCGCACGCGCCTTTCAAGAAGCACAGAGGCAGTTATCAAGAACTGCCTCTCCACGCACACCCGTTAGCCAACGTACCTCTCCTCTTTTTCCTCACCCTTCTATGCTCCCTGCACCTTCCCTCTTCCCTGGGCCAGATACATCCTCTTCAAAATTCGGCCCCCTTCCCGCTCGTTCGCCCTTAATGGCTAGACAGGCCTGGCACCAACTGGCCTGAATGTATCGGACCCCCAAACTGAGGTATGTTCTTTTCTCAATTTTACCTCACACTACCTACCTACCACTACTCCTAATTGTAGGCATACGGGGAACCCCGTAGCAGCCAGAGCCTTTTTCATGGGAGAACATGCAGGGGCTGCTCCGGCCTGCAGGCGGCCGATACCGACCAGGGGGCAGCCGATAGTCATCAGGGACCATGCCGACAGGCCAATCCCTTTTCCTCCCCTCAGGTCCCTTTCCCTACGAACATCAGCAGACTCTGCCCAACGCCGATCGGGAGATCCGGTGGTCTTTCTCTAGGTGGCGGCTCCTAGCATGCCCAAGAAAGTACATGAGGCCAACGGGGATTGAACCCACGACCTCCCGAATCTCACTCGCGAGCCTCAGCAACTGAGTTAGGCCTGCAATCACGTCCGGAGCTCAGCGGTTACTTGCACTTGCCTGTTGCTGTGTCCCGTTGTACCTCTTCACTGCGCCTGCCTGTTTTCGGGGTCCGTACACCCTGTTTTCTCCCCCATCCGATCCCTGTCTATCCGACCGTTCATCTTGTGACGGCCAAACCCTTTTCCCAAGTTTTCTATTGCTTTCACGTTCCCCCGGCAATACAGTGGCGGCACCCGTGTCGCCCTTCCTGCGTAGTCGTTCGCCAACACTATACGACCAACCGCCGATGCCTTGCCCAAACCTCCAAAAAACGCGTAGGTTGCAGGTCGTGTGGTGTGGCTCCGTCGACCATCCAAAAGGCCCGAGTCGCAAAAACTGGTACCCAATAACCATAGCAAAGACTTGTGGTAGAAGTAGTCGTCGCCGACGTCTGCCGATGGATCATTTTACCGTCGTTATCCGACCCCCCCACGCTCACACGTCGTCACCCACCATCGCTGCTTCGCCCCAAAACCCATTGGATAGAAAATCGGGCTCTCCCAAGCCCCCTCTCTCCGCCGCCTCTACACCACTCCCCCGCAACTCCCTGTACACGCCTCGCAAACCCAAACTCAACCGAAACCCTCCAAGCATAAGTAGACAAAACCCCGAAACAAGCGAAAACAATCAGCCACATACACACAAACAAGCACAAAATTCGAAAAAAACGACCCGACTGGTAGGCAGTCGCCCGACACCGTGCCAAATTGTCATTTAACTCTCCCTGGGACTTCATCCACTGTAAGGTGGAGTAATCTGAAAAGATCTTGAAGTGTCTCCCCAGGAGAAGTGTTTCCAGTGTTTTAGGGCACAGACAAGAGCATATAACTCTTTCTCGTAGGTGGAGTCCTGGAGCTTTTGAGTCTTGATCTTCTTACTCATAAACTCAACAGGTCGTAGACCATTCCCATCATCCTGCTGAAGAACTGCGCCAATGCCATACTGACGTCAGTGGTCAGGATTAATGGCAAAATGGGGTCAGGTAGCTTCAGCACAGGCGCACGAGTCAAGGCCTTCTTGAGTCATGTGAAGGCCAACTGACACGGAAGGGACCAAAGAAAGGGAGTATCTTTCTTTGTTAGGTTGGTCAGGGGTGCAACCACTGCAGAAAAGTTCCTGACAAACTTTCTGTAGTATGAGGCTAAACCCATGAAGGACCTGACATCCCTTATTGTTTGTGGCTGAGGTCACTCCTGGATAGCAACAACCTTGGCTGCTTCAAGAGCCAGACGATCTCCAGAGATTACATGACCTAGATAGATAACAGAGGGAACTCCAAAAGAGGACTTCTCTCTGTTGATCTTGTACTGGCTGTCACGTAACGACTGGGGGGCAAGAGCCAAATGCTCCGCATGTTCCCTGGCAGTTTGGCTGAATACCAGGGTATCATCCAGGTAGACAACCACAAACTTGTCCAGGTAAGGCCTGACGATGCGGTGCATCTCTGTCTGGAAGGTGCCTGGGGCGTTCCAAAGTCCAAATGGCATGACCAGGAACTCGGAAGTCCCATACCTGGTCTTGAAGGCTGTCTAATAGACATCCTCCTTTGCCATCTCAATCTGGTGGTAGCCAGATTTGAGGTCGACTTTGCTGAACACTATGCAGCCCTGCACCATGTCCAGGAGGTCGTCGATCCTAGGAAGTGGCTCAGTACTCTTCCTAGTGATCTTGTTGAGACCCCTGTAGTCAATACACATTCTGAACTCGCCATTCCCTTTGGGTACAAAGAGAGCTGGGGCACCGAATTCAGAAGTGTTGGGTCTGATCCAGCCCTTGCTGGTCAGGGTCTCAAGCTGCTTTCTGAGCTCCTCTAACTCAGTAGGGGACATCCTGTAGATGCGGCCCTTGGGAGGGACCGCTCCAGGCAACAACTCAATGTGATGCTTGGTTGGCCGGTTGGGTAATCAGAAGGGCTCCTACATCAGATCAGCATACTTGTCAACCACCTGTTGTATCTCAGGAGGACATGAAACAGGGGGAGCATCTGTTTGCTTGACCAAAGCAATAAACAGACGCTCATGGTCGTACTGGCGGGAGAGAGAATAGAACTCCCTCGCTCTCAGGCAGTAGCAAGATGTCTTAGGGTGGTGATCAGCAGCAATCATGCATGGCTGATACACACCCTGGCTATTGGGTAGCTCAACCTTTGGGATCTGCCAGTCGATCCTTGGGTTGACTGCCTTCAGCCACTGCATGGAGAATACCAAGTCAAAGGGAAACTCAGGGAAGATGTAGAAGTTCAGACTGTGTCTGACTTCTCCAGCACTGTCGAAGGTCATAGGGATACCCTTGACCTTCTCCCTGATGCTGAGTACTGTAGAGTCACCAATCTGCACCAGCAGCGGTTGCTGCAGCTGCTGAACTTTCATGCCCAGATGCAGCTTTTTAACTGCACTGGGAGACATGAAGTTCCTGGTGGCTCCGCAGTCCAATAGCCCAGTGATCCTGGTGCGGTTGATCAAGGGCCGAAGCAAGATGATGTCAGACTTGCTCTTCTTCTGTTCCTTCAGATGAAGGAAGAAGGACGCAAGGGACTGAAGTTCATCTTGCCCCGGGTCCTGATCCGGGTCAGGATCCTCATAGCAGAAGGATGCTGCCCGTGCAGTCCCCAAACAAACATTGTCACATACAGTCTCAACTGAAACAGCAGATTCACCTACCTGAGTAGATGAAGGTGCAACACTGGGGGGAACTGCAGTCCCCAGGGTCTGTTTCAGTTTTTTGACTGGCCGGGGCCTGGCATGTAGGGGCAGTCCTTCAAGAAGTGTTGTCCCTCACATCTCAGGCAGACCCCTTTTTCCTTGCGTCTTCTCCAGACTCCCTCCTGGATCTTGAGGTCATGCCAGGGGAGTGTGGAGGGATTGAGAGGGTCAGCTGTCATACGGACGTCTTCCGGCAGGTCAGGGCGCTGGGAAGAGGAAGGCCAACGTCCCTTTTCCTTCCCCTTTGCACTTGCTGAGGCTGTGGTGGGGGAAAACCTCTTCTGCTGCTTCAGAACTCCCAAAACAGCCAGAGTCAGGGTTGCTGCAACATCTGTATCAGCAACGGATCCAGTCCCAGCTGAAGGTGTATCAGCCTGGGAATCTGAACCTGATGCAGATCCCACATGAGTGAAGGCCGCCTTTCCCTTTCTACCACCTTTAGGGAAGGCACCTTTCCTCCTGTCAGAGGATGGGGCCTGAACATAAAGCTTCGCCTCCAATCCTTGTGCCCAACGCTGTACAATGCCACTGAAAACTTCTCAGGGGCTGCCCTGCAGAAGTTCGTCAGCAGGTCATCTGCAGACATCACCAGTCCTGGTGTGGAAGTCAACTGCTCGAACTCTGCAAACAAGGATTGCAGGGAGCCGCTGTAGCGCTGCTGTCCCAGGCGAGCAATCCTGTCAGCAGCTTTGCGGGCCCGCTCCTTGTCTGCAAAGCGGTCTTCCAAGGCCTGCAGAAGCCTGTCCACTCCCAGTCCCAAAGCCCAGTCCTCCATAGTTTGCTGCAGACTGCTGGAGGTTGAAGTAGCCCACTTTTGTGCAGGCCCCTCCAACAGTCCCAGAACGGTTGCCACCTTGGTCTGTTCTGGGCAAACAAAGCCCCTCAAGTAGGCTCTGGTCCCTGCATCCCAATCCCCAACATCGGTCTTGGGGTCATCACCCCTGAACTTGTTGGGTGCAGGGATCTTGGGACCTCTTTGATCTCCTGCAGTAACAGCAGCATAGGTGGCTTTGCCTGAGGCTCTTTGGGACTGAGGTGGTGTCTGGGAAGAATGCACTGACCCAGGGCGAGATGAAGGAGGGGTTGAAGGAGGAGAAGGTTTGGGTTTTATCAGAGGGAGCTGAGAAGCAATCAGCTTGGCGGTTGACAGCTGAGCAGTCGAGTTCTGAATCGCATCCAGAATCTTAGACTGCTGAGCGGCCATGTGGTCAACCCGACGCTCCAAATGATAAAAACGATCATCCCAGTTCGTGAAGTGGGAACTGGTGATCTTGTGCTCCAGAATGATCATCTCTGCCAGGTGCTTAGTCACCTGTGCACAGTGGTCATCTGAGAGCACCTTGTCTAGCTGCTGCAACAGATATTCCCTTCTGGAATAATCTATTGCAGCCTCTAGCTCAGCTGCCTCCTGGCGTTCCAACTCTGCAAGCCGGTCCTGTTGTCGCCGCAGCTGCTCTTGCAACTCCTCCTTTTCCTGTTGAGTAGCAGTCAGAGGTGGAGAAGGAGGAGTGGAGGTTGAAGGTTGTTGACCTTCCACCTTCATCACCACTTCCACCTGTGGCTGCTGCTGAGCCCCCTGGTCARACATTTCCCTTWAAARAAAATAACCAAAAATAAAATACAGCAACCMGAGTATGCAGCGATATKCAGATTCCTYCARACACYCTGGAATCGCTGCAAAACTYAGACRCTRGRATAGGYGGGTGAATGGGCAATCAGYGGTTTSGGTTGGAAGGGTGTCTCTGGGGTCAGGTGTCAGACAGACTGTACGTCCAGCAAAATCATGCACACGATTTCCTTTTACTGACCCTGCACCACACTGGAGTTAGTAGAGTCCCTCCACTACTCTTCTAGAGACCCACTAGATTTCCAGAGTCCACTAGAAAACAAGTGCCATCAATGAGAATGATAGAAGATGGTTAGTACTGACAAGAGAGATCAACCATAACAAGCGATTCAGACAGACACCCTAAAACCTAGCTCAGACTCCAATTTAGACCATGATGACTCTGGTGGCCATACCCTGGGGTATGGCGAAGTACAGTATTCACTGTATCCAGTGAAATACTGCAAATCCAATCATACGATTCTGCAGTAGTGTCTATTTTTGGATTGCGATTCACTGAGGACTAACAAAATGGAATTCTGACGGACAGAATTGAAGTTGTGATTGACCCTAGTTAGCACACGCTATAAATAGACTCAGCGCAAAACTGCAATTCACAGTATCACTACTTTTCCAATGCAGAATTCCCAATTTGAACATTCCAGATCAATCACAATGCAGTACAGCAGTCACCGAACAATTTTGGATCAGAAAGAGTCAACAAAGGGTTAAAAATGAGCAGAGAGAGGTAGGGGAGAGATGGCTATGGCTGTCATGCAGTCTGCGATTTTCACATCCAGTCACTGACAGATAGATAGACCATTATAATTGACTAGTCTAATCCTATTTGGATCGCTATGCAGGTAGGTGCATGGAACGGACTCACTTTCAGAGAATCTTGTAGGTGTTGATGAAGATCTGGCTATGGCAGATGATGACCCTTATCTCGCCAATATCTTCCAGATATTCCTCCTGATAATCCCACGCACAAAACTGCTTCAAACTTGTTGATTCTCCTCAGGATCCTGTAGCGCTGCACTCCCTTAATCCAGATACCCTGTACCTGGTCCTGTGGCGCCTGCCGACACCAAAATATCTCGCCACAATGCTTAGTAGCCGCTCAAGTTAAAAATAGCCCCAGATGGGGTTATTTCTCTTGGAGATTGATATACTGTGTCAATCTCTACCAGCGCTACCTAGGGATGGTGCCGCTCAGGGTTCCCTGATGTCCTCAGGGGTAATTCGCCACACTGGGGTAATTCGCAACAGTACCCTCAGGGTTGGCTATGGCGAATTAGCCCTGAACTCGCCACTTCCTGATAAGCGCCCTGACAGGCTCAGTGCACTTGCTCAGTGCAAACACTGAACACTCGAATCCACCGCAGAAAGTCTTCTTCCCTGCTGACTCGGTACTGGGGAAGATGAATCGCCATGAAGCTCTCGCCAGTATATCGCCAGATGAAGAAGATGCCTTAGTGCGCTCAACCCTCAGTGTTCCAATTCCAATCCCGCTCCGATACCAACTGTTATGATCTTCGTTGTCTGACGATTTTTACCGCCACTCACACACAGACAGTCTCATACACGCCCATACATGCATACGAGAAGGGGGAGAGGAGACAGAGTCCACACTGCACACAGATCGGAGTAGGCATCGGAATACAGCTATGCACAGATGGGGAGAAGACACACATGTTTCTCTCTCTCTGACAAACTCCCAACAACCAATCACAAGTAGAACCTGCGAGGATAACAATTGAAATTGCACTGATGATGAGCCAACTCAAACAATTATCCTAACAGAGTTTGTTCCAATATCTCGCCACTCTCAGAACTCACACCCCACTCCCTATCCTACACCCAGTTAGTAGCACCACATCAGAATGGCCTCCCAGAGGCCAGCGCCAACCACCCTGATGAAGAACAGGTCCTGCGATGAAGTCTTATGTCCCGATGGACAGCTCTGACGAAGGAACAGGCAGCTATGGCTGCCACCACCCACGAGTACACAGTGTAGAGCCTCGATGTAGCCCGGCCAGACGCAGATACCCTCAGGGGTAGATGCGCTGAGGATGCTCCAGCTATGGCAGACTCAGACTGGGCCGGCTATGGTTGCTGTCAACGGCGAGGTCTCAGGATGCCACCTGCAGACAGTCACCGCCACCAACTTGCTTGGCTTCTCCAACCCTGCTTTGTGAGAAATGAACTGCCAAAAGTCCTGAACCGATGGGCCTAACCTATCTAAAGACTACACTAGACCTAGACCGGACTGACTGACCGACCAGTACCATTTCTGTTTCGGCCTCTCGGCCTCTACCGGACCTGGCTATAGGCTATAGGACCGTCTATCAGCATAGGCCACTTAGGGCCTGTCTGTCCTAGGGGTAGCTCGGGCCTACTCTACGCAGTTAGGGTAGCTGTAGGAATTCGAGTTAGTACTGGGCCGATATTTTCCCAGATTTGCAGATATGTCCCTCACGAATTTCCTTACAGGTAGGTCTCTCGGTTAGCCCTCAGCCAAACAAAATTACGAATCTATCCTACCGCTGTACTATACAGCCTTGCAGTCAATTTCGGCAGTAGAAATCAGCAAGTCATTGCACAATGATGACCATATATTATATTCCGGGGAAGACGGTAGAGCTATCAGCAGAGGAGAAGCTTGGCCGCTGAAGCTGTGCTGGTTCTGCTAGAGTGTGCCGTTCCCAACAATCGCTTTCTGGCTGGTGTGATGCTGCTGCACTGCCAAGGGTGGAAAGGAAAGAAGCAGGCAAGAATTCGCGTGGAGGTTTTCGAGGTGAGGGAGACAACCTTCATGGCTATGGAAGAAGACCTAAGCAAGCGACAGTGAAAAAGAGGGGTTGGCTATGGTAATGCGTGTCTGAGCCCACATTACGCCTTTAGAGTAGGAGGAAGACCTCAGCTAACCTAGAAGATTTGGCTTTGGCAATTGTGGACTACCATCCTCACTCCCAGGAGTGGCGCAACATCAAGAAGATCCTTCAAGGGTACCATCCTCACTCCCAGGACTGGAGCAACATCAAGAAGATCCTTCAAGGGCTCTGCAGGACAGAGACTTCATTCTGGGCTGTGGCATTGCAGCAGGAGGAGAGAGGGAGAGTACCCGGTCGTGTTGTCCATTGTACAAGGATGTCGTTTGGGAGCAGACGGGCTACAGGGAGTTCTTTCTCAAGCGCATTAGCTACGCAGATTCATCCGGCAATGATTCTTTGTGTTCTTTGGCTCTTCATGAGCAATAAGAGAGGAGGGGGAGATATGAGGGTGATGACCTGGTGGCAAGATGAGGGGGAGGTGACATTGAGAGTAATCCATTCTTCTTCTTCTTCTTCTTCTTCTTCTGTCCTTGCTTTTTTGTGCTTTCTTCTCTTTTTGTGGATCATGCACTTGTCGTAAATTTGGCATTGAATCCATAAACTCGGGTCATACAAGCTTTAATGACCCTTGTTCTATTAGGACGAGGATGGAACACACGGCGAAGTGGGGAGAACACCAGTTTCTACCAGAGGTGAACAGCGGTAAGGAGGGATCTCCACCTGTCCAATTCCTGTGAGTTATTGGTTGCCAATGGGTTCCCTTGCAGCGAGTAGCAGGGAAGGCTGGACAAAGACGTGGAAGAGGTATCAGGCTGAAAGCAGCGAGCAGGTGGGGTTGGATGACGGGAGCGGAGGAAGGGGAGGGCTTATATACCGTGATGATTCTTATTTCAATTTCTACCATCCTCCCTTCCTCCCTCTCTTTCTCTCCATTACTTGCACACACGCATCCACATACACACGCACACACGCACACAGACATCCACGTACACACGCACACACACACACACACACACACACACACACACACACACACACACACACCTTCACATGCATACATGCATACATGCACATGCACACACATGCACACACACAAACATCAGGATGAGCGAGAGATGGTTAACCGAGGGCCAAAAATTCAATGTTTTCACCACATCGCCACAAGGAGCATAGGGGATAAGTCTGGAAACAAACGATATCGGCCCATAGTACAAACATTGGGAAAAAAAAAACACAAAAACACTATAGAACCCTAACACGAGAACACTTTCCCAGTGAAAATAAAGCACACACACACACACACACACACACACACACACACGCACGCACACACACACACACACACACACACACACACACACACACACACATTAATACAGAGAAAGGAAGAGCACATACAGAATGGGGAGGATGGATATCAGAGCGTGGTGAAGAAGGTGAACAAGCAGGGGACCGATCACTTGATGTGTCATGGTCAGCAGGAGGAGGTGGTTTAGGAGGGAGGAAAACATGTGAGTGCACTACCCCACATACCTGCACCATAAATGTTATGTCTGTGTGGGGGTGTGTGTGCACCTGGCATCATTGGCATGTATAATGTTTACCGTGTGTACTTGGTCGTATTCTATTGTACATCCTCAGTTTTCTGCAATACACAAGAACAACCTACTAGTGCGAGGCACAAGGCCTCAATAAGACCCACTGGGCCCTGTTATCAGCCAGGTCGGCCGCCCTAAGTGAAGGCAGGCCCGACCGAGGCCTATTTTGGACTACTACGCAACTGGGGAAATTCAGGCAGTTGCACAGCGCCAGTTGGTTGGAAGCACCCAGGCCCAGGCTGCCTTTCATTGTATGTAACTGAGGCAGGCCTTGGGCCGGATACACAACATGGACCGAACATAGGCTGAGGGCAGTTGGGCGCTGGTAACCACCACAGGTCTGGGCCTGTTTCCTTTGGACTGAGGCTCAGCCTTGTGGGGCCTACCAGAAGCTTCTGGGCCAGGGCCCAGTACAGCATCACCGCACGGAGCAGCAGGCCACTTCGATATAGGGAAGGGCCTGTCCACGCATTGGACATTCGGGCACTGGCTGCATGCTGCGCAAACGCTGCTGCGCTAACGCTGGCCAGCGCTCACGCGCTCACGGGCGAGCTGGAAGGAGCAGGCAGCCATAGCCGAGCTGCGCTGCTG